ACTTTTGCCTATTTTTATTAAACTTTCCATTTAAATTCCAATAAAATTACTGTAATAAAGTAGACATATTTTGCTATTCTGTATTGGATATGTGTATTTTTTGACTATACATGCTAGGCTTGTAAACTTCTTGTTAAATTTGTGTTAAATCGAATAAAGATACCAATTTTTCTGCTATATGGTCCAATTTTCCTTTCTGTTTCCACATTGGACAGGTTTCCACTATATACAGGTTTGACTGTAAAATCAAATCAATAAAGATGGACAACAAGCACTTTATCTACACTTTCTGAAATATGTTTCAATTGATTTGATTTTAATTTTAATTAATTAATTTTGATTTTATTTTAAATTTTAGTTTTGGTATAAAGGTCAGAGTTTATTAGTATTATTTTTAGTTTTAATTAACTGGCTACCTAGTATTAATAAATATTTAATATCATAATACATATTATATTATATATTATATTAATAAATTTTTGTTATTTAATTTAACTTCTGATTTAATTAANAGATTCATGACTGACTTTACTTAATTTTATGGTAAAGTGCTTCAGTCATTCCAACTTCTCAGCTAATATTCTTAATCAACATTTTTCTTTTGCAAAGGGGAGCACACTGAAACTGAGTAATGGTTTGAAAAAGCAGAATATGAGAGTTGACTCACCAAAATACCAGTACAAATGCAGCTCTGAATGAGGCAGTTGAGATCTTATCAGAGTTGTAGAACAAGCCCAAGAGGTAAAAAAGTCAAAAGGAACGATCTACATGTAGTCCTTTTTTAACATTAGCCTCCAAAATCTTGACCAAACTGCTTATTAAACATGTGATAGACTTAAAGGAACATGCACTGTGGCTCCAACTGCACCCCATAAATAGTCGGTCTGTATAATGGCATTTCTCATATTTTGTGGGCTGTTAACCATCTCTACTAAAGTAGAAAACAGTTGATTTTTAGCATTGTTTTGAGAAAGTTAGTTCTCAATTTTTTTTTCACTTTTAAATTTTACTCATTTTTCAATCTTCAAAATTCCAGATAGGTTAATTTTGAGGGGGCTATATTTGCACAGGGTCATACGTAAACCATCAGTTACTTTGACTATTCCTACAAGCACGGTAACAAGGTCTCAACCACATCATTCAGAGCCACATTTATTGTTCGCAGGGGGGTGACGACCCCCTCATTTGGAGGGTAAATCTTACCCAAAATTTAGCATTATTTAAACTTCATCTCATTTCCACCCAAACCTCATTTCCACCCTTTGGGGGGTGACGACCCCCTCATTTGGAGGGTAAATCTTACCCAAAATTTAGCATTATTTAAACTTCACCTACTATTAAAGATGCATTGATTAGTAAAAGTACGAAGAAAGACTAAAATGTCTTCACTCTTGCCATGTCCAATCACCGGAAACGACAATCTTCTACCGTAGAGACGACCTTTCTTTAGAGGCTACACATTCTATGTATTTTTAATAATGTGTAAAACTGTCAGCCAATTATAAATAAATGCATTGATTAATTATTATATTGCATGTTAAAATTTTAATTTGTGTAATTTCTCCAATAGATTAATATTACTCAAGACTGCAAAAAATAATTCTTATTTACTTGTTTTTATGTAAGAATAATATAAAATGGGAACATTCTATTTAAAGTATCAACTTTGATTTATAAATAGTTGTTTATTTAGAACATTTATAAACTTAAACCTATAAATAATTAAAGAATTGGACTTCATTTTTCATAATAATTTTTTAAAAAATAGGCAGAACATAAAAAATTTCACCTCAGAATAGCATTATTTCTGCTAGTCACAATTATTTCTTTATAACTCGTATATTATTATAATTTATTGAATGTAATGGATGATTAACCGTATAAAGTTCATTAAGTACGAAGAAAATAAATCATTCCATTTACCTTCTCCTAATAAAGCTGTAAAAACCGAAATTAATAAAATGAGAACGCTATCTCCCCACATTTTGCCAGATGTAACTTTACATAGCGCCACCTGACATTATTAAACTTTTGTAAGAAAAAGTCGAAAATAAAAAAAAATTTAGTGCAGAAATTTTAAAGATTAATCGTTAATTATTCATAATTATACATAATATAAAATAATTTATATAAAATTAAATATTTTTCGGAATTTTGATAGGTTAGGCGTTAAGTCCGTGCAAACGGTGTTTTTCCCAGGTGTAATAAAGTTAAGGCATGGACAGGTGGGAATCGTGAATTATATAGAACTTTAGTAAGTTTATTTTTCTCATTTTTATATTTTAATTATTATTAATTAGAGTTTGAATGAGCGTTTTATATTAACCAGAATCGTTTAAAATCTTTAAAAATAAATAAATAAATTTGTATATAATGTGATGCATGCATTCATCTTCCTTATCTTGAAAGTGAAATTGAACAATTTCTCATCACATGTTCAAATTTCATAATTTTTCTTAATAATGTGTGTCATATTATTTTACATGTAATTTTAAAACATTTTTCACATAAATCTGAAGCTAATTAAGTGTTTCTCTTTAATCAGATGGTTATTTTTATTTTTATATAAATTTTATAAAAGTATCATCCCACATACGAAGTCCTTTTGTAACAAGTTAAACTAGTTGAAAAAATAAAATAAAAAATTAAATTTCACCATAAATGTTCAACTGGAATTAAATATGTTGTATTCTCATTTTATTTGACTATATATATATATAATATTTTTAATATATTTAAAAAATTTTTTAAATCATTTTTGACTCTCATTGAATTACTGAACATCTTTTATGCAATATATTTGCATTCTAAGCAATATCTTAGAGTCAGAATTAACCAAAGAAAATAACACTAATGTGTAAAAGTAGGCTATTTAACTTTTTTAACTTCAAGAAATTCAAATGTGTAAATGTATAGATAAACAAATTATAAATAAAAGTCACAACAGTTTGTTTACAAATGTCTGTATGTCAACTTTTTGGCCACTTTTGGTACATCGACGGCTCCTTTATCAGAGATCTTTTATTTATTTTTACTTCGAAGTCTAATTATTAAGGAAATATACATAATTAATGTATTTATTTATTCTATTGTCTTGTTTTCTTAATTAAGTTATATATAGAATAACTTCGTAAATTCATTTAGTCTGAATATCACAATATTAATAATTGTTTAAAAAAAATTACTAGGCAATAATTGGATTTATTATTTAATTAATATTTGGTATTAATCTTTACGTTGGTACAGATTATTTATTTATAAGATTTTTAAACTTTTAATTATTATAATAATAAAAATGTTATATAAAAGTAGGTGATATATGTTGTTTAAATTTAAATATTGACATTTTTGTGATAACAGAAATCACAGATGACTTCTGATCTGATATATTTTTGATAATCTCTCTAGTAAATGATAATCTTTGATGGATGTTTAGAAATATGATATATTCTCTATAAAATGATACTTTTTATAATGTTATGATAATTATTGATTAAAAAGTACAGAAATATAGCAATTGACTGATATCTTACAACTTAATGAATTTGTTATTTATATATTAAAAATATCAGAAATTTCAATAATATTATCATTTTGTAAGCTACAAAGTTCACCATTTAAAATACGGAAGATTTATCATCAAAAGTTTATTGAAATTTATACAATGTAGATTGATATCTTAAGAATTTCATAAAGTTTTAAATGATTATGGAGTATACGGTGATTAAATATAGTCACAAAGTCAAATAAAGTTGCATATTTGAACCCTAATTTGACTTTGAGTCTTATTTTGTTGTGATTAATAAATTTTTGATGCTACAACTTGCACTTCATTCATTATCAAACGTTGTTCTATAATTTCAATATTATAAATGTCATTTTTAGTAATTCATTTAAAATAAATCTAATATATACAATTTGTAATAAAAATAGAATAATTCAGCAAGAAATAATGTTTTCTTAGATATAAATTTACTTTTTAAAGTATATAAAAGAGCAAAACATGATATCAAGCAGTACTTCAGATTGCAATATCAAGTTGCAGTGAAAGTATTATTGAAATTAAATATTAAGAACTAATATGCACATTTTTATGTATTTTTAATGCAGTTTATGTTTAAAAAATGATTAAGTAAGCTATTTTTTTATAATGAGAGGGCACAATTACACCTCTGAATGAGAAGGTTGAGACCTTAACAGAGCTGTAGACCATACTCACAGGAGCAAAAAAATCAAAGAAACCCTACATCTACATGTGACCCTTTGTGAGGTATAACCCCCCAAAATTAGTGTACATGGAATTTTGGAGACCCTCAAAAATATTTTTATTTAAAATTAAGTTGAAAGAACTTCTACTTATTTTAAGATATATTATTCATATATTTTTGAAGATGTAAAATTAATTAAAGCCAGACAATCTGCTGAATTATTTGGTTATGATTAGGCTAAGTCAATAATTAGATATGAAGTAATTTATCTAGAACTAAGTGGCAGCTAGATGAGTGCCTTGAAAGAGAGCCATGGGTACTTAAAGTTGTCCCCAGTCTGTGCCATGTATGGTTATATCTAAATTAACAGTTCTGGAAGTGAAGATTGGACATAGGTCCTCATAGCATAACTAGCAACTAATCTGTACAGTAAGTCAGTAAATGGAAGTTACAGGCTCAAGTCTGCTCTTGCCCAATTCTTTTTTTCTAGAAATTCTAAATTAAAATTAATTCATTATAATTATTAAAATTATCACGAGATGGTGGCTTAACTGCCTAACACTAGACAAATTACTTTGTATCTAATTATTAACTTAGCCTAATCATAGTTCAATAATTCGGCAGATTTGTCTGGCTTTAATCAAAAATCAGGTTTGTTGAGTTGTTGTTTATATGTAAAAATAATTAATTAGATATTGTAATAATAGAGATTTTTCCCACTAAATACAAGATGATGTCAAAAATAAGAAATTAAGAATGGTTTTATAGTGTTATATTGAAAAGCAGCACCAGTAATGCATAAGATTGTTCAGAATATTTCTTAATACTGTATTGATTAATTGTTAATTCTAACACAAAACAAAATATATATGAGAATTGATTCTTTTAGTAATATGATAAAAGTTTGAAAGTCTGTTAATTATACTTTTGAACTTTAAATGTAAAATTTAACCATAACACATAATATTTAAACATAAAATTTTATTATCTGAATCAGAAACAACATACTTATCTAGAAATTTTAAACAGGCTATATAATCTAACACAAAATGTCTTCTTTTCAGAAATAAAACTTAAAAGCCATTCAAGTACATTCAAGGGTGTTAAGAAAAGTATTCAGTATTTATATTGTAGAGTAAAAAACCTTAGTAAGCATAAGTAATAAACTCAAGTATATGAGATAAATAATTTGACAAAGACCTGGAATTTTTATGAGTGCAGCTCAAAAAGATAAGATGTCAAGTATAAATGGAAATGGAGGACATGTGTAATACTTGTGAATATCAAGGTAAAGATTTAGCAAGATTATCCCTCTTTTCACATTACATGCAACATGTAGAAGACTAAGTCAATCATGATACTAACATTAAAAAATTCTTAATATTTCAGAAACAGTTGAGTTTTGTTTTATCTACATTTACTAAAATTTTTAGTCAGTATGATGATACTATCTACCCCTGTAAATCCTGAATGCATTTTTAATATCCTGTATATCAATCTTCAGAAGTTAAACAGAAACTAAGAAAAATGAAAGTTAACTTATCTACAACACATTTTTTTAATTGAAAAATAAATTTAAATGCATGGTTGAAGATATTAGTAAGAATTAATTAAAATTCTTGAAAATGGGTTCTTTATAATATAATCTTTAATTAAACTGTCAGAAACATCAAATATGGCTTTATTGAAATTTTACCTGATTTAGAGGAATGCATTTGTAATTTTTTGATAATTTAAAATAATTTAATTAAATTTCTAAAAATCTAGTCAGATAAGTTAGTCTGCTGTTGAAAATTAACTTTAAACTATTTGTCATTTAAAAAAATAATAATAATTGGACATACTTAATCTAGAATACAATGTGTTCACAAAGTTTGGAAACAGATAAGTATACATAATAAATGGTATATTGATATTATGTGACAACACATATGTTTAATGTGTTGTACATTTTATTCATTTAGGAGTACATAGTTTAATATGCTGTGCAAAACTATAGTGAATGCAGTGCATTAACAATGATAGATAATAATAATTTATTCATATTTCAAGATTTTAAGGCCTCCCTGTAGTTTAAAATATTGAGAAATAGAAATATACCTACTTGTAGTATCATATTCTTGAAATAATAAAATAATTTAACTAAAAACTAATGTGATAAAAATAATTTATAATTTTTCATATATTAATTTTGCATATCAACTCTAATTTTAATCCAAATCAACTCTAATTTTATCACAAGTTTTACAATATAGTAAATCTTGTAAATGGAAAATGCTTTATCATCATCATCTGATATTTATCATTCATTTTCATAATCTTTAAAAGTTTTGAAACATTACATAGCCTATTCCTGTTATTGTTATTATATACCAGTCATTATATTGTACTGTAGGTTATTAGATTCCAAAAATAAAATAGTTGTTCAACTTAATACTCAATGATAAGATGACCTGTTTGAATGACCACTTTGCAATTTATGAATCAAAACTTTGCATACTTGTACTAATAATAGCTAAATTATCTCTTCAATGATTGTTGTTTTATTAAGTTGAGTTTTTCTAATGATACAAAGTTGTGTATTGAAAGATAGACAATAGAGAATATGATATATATACATGTCCTTAGAGTATCACATGTAAATTGAATGTGAAATTGACCTGGAAAATATTTATTACTTTTGTATTGTGACTAAATTTATAAAATATACTTACAAATAAAAACTTTGAAAATCTTTCTATTGGCACTGATGTATATTTGCATATTTTCTATTGTACATTTAATCACTATGATAGAATACAAATTGCTTCTTGAAGAAAATATTCAATTTTTTATAATTTTTGAGATGATGATAATTATAAAAAATATATAAAATCATTCTAAATGTGAAAAATTTCTATATTTTAAATTATTTTCTGTAGCTGTAGTAATGATTATATCTTCTAATTGTCAGTAAAGTGTTATGAAATAGCAACCTTGATAGATGAAACTGATAAGTTTTTTGCTTCTGTCATTCCACAATAATATTTAAGAAATTCTTTAATTGACAATAGAGATTTTTTTCATATTTTATGAAAAGGTTAATAAATAAATTTGACATTTTTGAACTTTTTGCTTATGCTAGATATGGTCAGGAGTTAATCCATAAAACATTTATTTCTAAGCTTTGTTTCATTCGAGAATTTGTTAGTGAATACAGTCCTGATATTATTAAAATAAATTAAATAATCCAATGTATAGTAAATATTACTTTAATATATAAAAAATATATTACTTAGGCCCTATAACAAACAATAATTATATATTAAATAACTTAATGGTATGATAACAGTGTGTATAATATAATATAAAGTTAGGAACTAATTAGTTTCAGAAAAATAATGGCATCTGAAATTTACAACAATCTACATCACTTTTTATTTTTTATCAAAAAATTAGCTATCTAATAATAATTAAATATTATTTTGCTAACTGTAATTATAGTACTGTATTTTGAATTGAAACTTTATAGAAAAGGAGAGTGAAGCTGCTAATATTTGTTAACTTTTAAAATTTTTTTAAAGAACACAAAACACAAAATTGAGAAAGTGAATACAGCATTGCATAGTAGATTTATTTGCTTCTTTATTTAAAATAAAACAACAAGTTTGAAAGACATGTTAGATAAAAAAAATATGAAGCAATTAACTACAGTTATTAAAACCTGCCTTGGTTTTGGGATAGGTTTTAACAATAGACAAAATAAAACTAAAATAGTATTATGATCGTTTGATAATCCAAAACCATGTTGTAAGTCTTCTTTGTTGCTTAAACACTATGTAGTGTAATAAATTTGAATGCTTGCATTCTTTCATCTTTATTTTAATTTAGTTGATATGCAATTGTTGTCATAAAGGTTATTGGTAATTCCATCTCCTATGTTTATATTCCTTTGTACTACCTATAGACGTTACTTCATTAAAGGCAGAAAGAAGGAATGAATAAATTGGGAAGGATGACAATGGTAGAACTCTGTAGTAACAAAGCTTGTACATCAAGAAAAAACTTTACACTTATCACAACTGTAACAATAATGATGAGATTCATGATTAATTGACCTGAACTAAAATGATCATAATACTTTATTGCTTAATTAAACACTATGTAGTGTAATAAATTCGATCACTTGGCATTCTTTCATCTTTATTTTAATTTAGTTGATATGCATTTTAGATTACACGTTTCGGGTCTAACATGCCCCACCTCAGCCAACTAAAAAATGACAAAAATACATACAATACATAAAAAAGTAAAATACATATAAATGGTTAAGATATTTTTTAGACATACCTCGGGATTTTTGCAAACTGGGTTCTATTAGGTGAGTACATAATATATATACAGCTTACACATTTACTATTGTATATCTATTTATACAAATATCATAAATTTGATATTAATCACTACAATACATATATCTATGCCATCAATGTACCTTCTTTTTTCTTCTTTTTTGGCAAATACAATTAAAGGGTAAGTATACTGCCAGTGCAGAACTTTACGTTCATCTATTTCATATTAAAAAAATACTTAATTTCTTTACCTACATGTCTCTGTATTATCTATATGAATATATTAATAAATAATATACCTGTTTTTTATTATTTTGAAACTTATGTTGTTAGCATCCTTTCTTATCTTTGTCCAAGAAGCAATATGGTGTTGAATTAAATTCTACCATTTTTTACGTTTTTTTAAAAAAGAAAAGAAAAGAAAAGAAATTCACTAGAAATTATCTTGTAATAACATGGAATAAATATGATGTACCTGTGTTTTTTTTTTTTTTTTTATAAAATTCAATATAACAATAGAGCATAAATGGTTGTATCTTCACCTGCTTTGCATTATATCGTCATTCTGTTTCTACTCTTTTACTATGCAATAGTGTACTAATTAACATATTCTTATACTGTAAGATGCCAGTTCATGATTGACTTTATAACAGTTATTTACTTTTGTCAAAAAAATTTTTTATCTATTTAATTATGGCAATTATTATTATGTAGAAGATAATTTTCATTAATTAATAATAAAAAAAATGTTTTTATAATGCATATAAAAATATATAGATCTAAATCTGATTAAAAACAGTAAGTACATTTGTATATGCATTTGACAATATGAACAGTATTAATTATTATGTTTAAAAAATTGACTGTTAATTAAAATTAACCTTACAGATTTTTGATAGAAACGTCAAACAATACATAGCATAGAATTTTAAACAAGTAAAATGGCGAAGCCATATTTGGGATGAGACTATGTCTCAGAGAGTGCAAGCAACACGTGCACAAATCTTGCACTCACACTTGTTTGTAGAAACAGTCTCAGCATTTTGTATTTTCTCTTGACCCGGTTCTTGGTCCTTGGACTACCTACTGATCTGGTTTATTTTATGTGCACATGATTTGGGCATTATATACTCTGTGCCAAATTGCAACTCCTGACATGTACTCCTATATACCTCTAAGGTATATAGCCGTTGATAGCAGCGCGATTTTAAAGATGAGACATAGTCTAGTCAACAAGTCTAGTAAAATTTATGCAAATTAACACATATCAACAATCACAAGACATGCCAAACCTACCAAAACAACACCAAAGACTCTGCACAGTACAGACCAATTAAATCTTCCAATACTTTACAAGATTCTTATCTCTTGTTTTGAAAACAAAGTATATGATCATATTGATGAACATGACATTCTTACAGAACAACAAAAAGGTTGTCATATAAACCACAAAGGTTGCAAAGAACAACTACTCATTGACTCTGTTATCTACTTCTTAAGCAACACAGAAACATACACATGGCATACATTGATTACATAAAAGTATTCGACAGTGTTCCACACACTTGGCTGCTGCACACACTTCTCATCTACAAAATTAATCCCCAACTCATTAGTTTCCTTGGTTTTACCATGCTTCACTGGAGAACAACATTACATCTTAACCTCCACAGCACTCACATAAAAACAAATCAAATATACATCAAGCGAGGAATTTTTCAAAGCGATTTCTTGAGTCCTCTTTAATTCTGCCTTGCACTTAACCCTTTATCTAACACATTGAACAAAGCACAATATGGTTATAATATCAGACATAACAAAACAACACATTATCACACTTCATGTACATGGACAATATCAAACTTTACACATTCACACAAAATCAGCTTTATTATCATTTACAAACTACACATACACACATTCAAATGATATATAAATGGAGTTTGGTCTAGATAAATGCAAAACATTCCATATTGAAAAAAGGAGTTTTGAAGAAAGGAGACTTTGTACTCAGAAGTGGAGATATTATCGAATCCATGGAAGATGGAAGAGGACGAGTTTTACAAATATTTAGGATTCCAACAGGCCAAACTTACAGAACATGCAAAGATAAAAGAAAGATTAACACTCGAATACCTGAACAGATTACATACAGTACTAAGAACAAACCTAAATGCAAAACATACTATTAAAGCTATTAATATATATTTTGTTCCTGTACTCACTCTTTTGGAGTTATACACTTGATACCTCAGATCTTGAGCAATTCCTAAGGAAAACAAGAACAACACTTACTAAGCATAAACAATATAATTTGAAATCATCCATAGAAAGACTAACTCCTCATAAAGGAGGTGGCCATAACCTGACTAATATAGTTAACCTGCACTAAACAAATTCTGACACTGTGAGAATTTTTTCATAAAAAACAAGAAACATCAAGATTGCATAAAGCTATAACTCTGGTAGACAGTAACCAGACAACTTTAAACTTACAGTCTGAGCACCTGGACATAACTCAACACAAATAACAAAGACACCACTAAATAGTCATGGGCCAAAAAAGCATTTCATGGCAGGCATACCTATGACTTAGCTGAGGACTATGTTGACTAAAGACTGATTAAGGGCTGTCTGTTTGGAGAGACTGAGGAAATGGTTGCCATTCAAGATCAGGTCATAAACACTAAAAACTATAGAAAACACATCCTGAAGAATTCATTACTAACAAATATGTACCTAAAAATTAAAATGTAGTTTTTAGGTTAGTTTTTGACTTACAAACATTTCAACTTACAACAAAACCTCAGGAACCTAACTTGTTCATAAGTAGAGGAGCACCTGTATTTAAAAAGTTAAGATTTTAAGAATCTTATTAATTGGAATATTAATAATATATTTGAAATTACAATATTTAAACATCTTGATCTATCTTAAATTATTAAGTTAAGAAAATACTTTTTATATGTAATTTTTTATCAAAATTATTGAGTTATTTCATTCTTAATAATTTACTATTTTGATTAAAGCCAAATGATTGTTGGATTATATCAGGCTAAATGTTACTAATTTCATTAAATTTATCAAGAGATGGAACCTAATGCCTACCTCTAGGCCAAATTATTTAACATTTAATTATTAATAATAGCATTAATATTGCCTGATATAATCTGGCAATCATTTGGCTTTAATATAATAATTGAGTTTATGGATGTTTATATTGCTATTTTGAAATTAATTAATTTAAAAAAATAATGTAATCTAATAATTACAACAAAACTCATTAATTTTATTGATGTGAATTAATAAACTATTAAAATTTTATTACTTTAAGTATATTTTTAGTTAATTTTAATGTATTTTAAAAACATTTAATATTTATATTTTAGAAATTAAAATGGCAGAAACTCCTCACAGTCCTGATTCTCATAGCAATAGTCCCATTAGCTCCTCACCTCCAGTTTCTGGAGGTTTATCAGAATCTCAAATTAAAAAATCTTGGGTCAAATTTGAAGAGGAAAATACTAAAGCAGGAGAAAGTGTGGCAACTATAGAACCATCTCAATCATTTCATGTCGATAGTCAGTCACATCCATTAGCAGATCGTGATGGAACTGGAGAGATATCAGAAAGTATGGAGGCAAAATCTCCTGTTTATGAGAGACAATCTTCATCTCCGATTCCTCAGTCTGTTAGCAATTTAAATTCATCAAGTCTTCCTCCACCAATGGCTCCTTTAAGACATATTAGAAAATCGGCTTCTGAACAGCCATCGGGTTATGTTCAAAATAATATTCCTGCTGCAGAAGCATTCAGAATGAATAGAAGCAGTTTGCAAAGTATCCCATTAACTACTGGACCAGCTTTACCACCACCTTGTGATCATGGTATTAGACAAGGATTTAGTAAGTATATTTTGTCATATTCATTATATAAACTAAAATTTTTGATACATTTCAAGATATATACAGTGGTGCCTCGTATAATGTACGCCTCTAGTAACGGACGCTGCAAACAATGGACTTTCTGTTTAGCCGTTATGTGACTCGAGCAACGGACTGGCTGCGAACATGTGCGAATGATGTTTCCACTCTTTTGCCATTGCCAATTACAATCTGCTATTTTTAGAATATATTATTAGTATATCTAAAGTACAGAGCTCCCATTGGGATTCGGCTTGCTCCCTTGTTTATTACGTACATCACCTCAGTGCAGGATATTTACATTTATTCAAGTGTTGTGCAAATCATGGCTTCTAAAAAAACAGTAAGTTGATTTCAATTGAAACAAAGCAAGAAATCATCAGAAGAGTGGGGTAAAATAGTGTGACGTTGTCAAAGAATTTGGTCTCAGCAAGACCACCATCAACACCATTATAAGCAAGAAAGATGCCATCAAGTCAGCCAAGGTTGCCAAAGGGAGTCTCCAAGATCTTCCATGTGAAGCATAGGTCTTCACGCCATGATGAAATGGAAAGGCTGTTGATGGTTTGGATCAATGACAGGCAGGTGAGAAGAAGTTATCTACCCAAGAAGTTATCTGTCAAAAAGCCAAACTCATCTATGACAAGTTGAAGAAAAACACTCCTGGAACAAGCAGCAGCAGTGGCAATGAAGAAGAGGAGTTTAAAGTCAGCAGGGGGTGGTTTTTTTGGGTTCAAGAAAAGGTGTGGAATCCACATCATCACCATGCATGGTGATGCTGGAAGTAATGACAAGGAAGAAGCAGAGAAGTTCTCTGTTGATTTTCAACAATTTCTCAAGAAGAAGGATACCGCCTGCAACAAGTTTTTAATGCTGATGAAACTGGTCTTTTCTGGAAGAAGATGCTCAACAGGTCCTTCATTACCAAGGAGGAAAAGACTTTGGATGGACACAAGCCCATGAAGGACAGGCTGACACTCCTGTTTGCAGCCAATGCCAGCGGAGATCTGAAGATCAAACCTCTGCTGGTTTACCATTCTGAAAATCCTAGGGTTTTCAAGAAAAACTGCATTGTCAAGTCCAACCTGCCTTGTCCATTGGAAGTCTAACCAAAAAGCCTGGGTGATCCAGGTTATCTTCAAGGAATGGATCCTGAAAACCTTTGCTCCTGCTATAAAGAAATACCTGCAGGGCTTTGAGCAGCAGACAAAGAGCTGCTGCTCAAAGCCCTGCTGATACTGGACAATGCCCCTGGTCACCCAAAAGACCTGGAGGAGATCCAGGAAGAAAGCTATTCTTTCATCAAGGTGCAGTATCTGCCAGCAAACACCATTGCCATCCTTTAGCCATCAGCAAGTCATTCAAGTCATTGCCAACTTCAAAAAACTGTACACCAGAGCTCTCTTCATGAAGGTGTTTGAAGGATGTCAGCTTTGTGGAGACATGACTGTCTGAAAGTTCTGGAAAGAGAAGTTTGATGTCCTTGTGGCAATCAGACTCATCCAGAAGGACTGGGAAGAAATCACGCAGAAGACCCTCAATTCAGCCTGGAAGAGGCTTGTTCCTGAATGGACTCAGGAAGAACCAGCTGAGGATACAGAAGTGATGTAGGAGATCATCTCGATGGCCAGAGAGTTGGAATTGGAGGTGGAGGATGTGGAGGAGCTCATTGAAGAACACCAAGAAGAGCTGACAACTGAAGAGCTCCAAGCACTTCTGGCCCAGGAACATGATGAAGCTCAAAGGGAAGCTTCATCTGACGAGGAGGAGGATCAGTCCAATCAACCAATTTCAACTGCTGCCATCAAGGACTTCCTTGTCAAATGGGGAGAGGTTCAGGAATTTACCAACACTCACTATCCAAACAGAGCTGAGGCCAACAGGATCAGTGATCTCTACAATGACACCCTTGCCCGTCATTTCTGACAGGCAAGAGGAAGAAGAGAGAGAAACAGACTTCCTTGGACATATTTTTCAAGAAGCCAGCTGCCAAAAAACAAAGGATAGAACAAGAGGAGTTGACCCTGCAAGCCCCGGTAGCCTCTCCTGAATCTAGCTCTGATTAAAAAACAATAAAAAGAAACCTGCTGCAATGTGTAAGAAGTGTGTGTCTGTATGAATGTGTGAAGAAAAGTGTTCCTCCAACTTCTCCTCATAACATCTGAGGAGGAGTTGGAGGAACACTTCATACCTAGCATAATTAGTGACTGCTCCATTTTCATTTTTTTTTAAATGGTACAGTACGGTTATTTTATGCTGTGGAACAAATTAGATGTTTTAACATGTATTTCTATGGGAAAATGCATTTCGTATAACAGACTTTTCACTTAACAGACGTGCACCTGAAATGGATTAAGTACATTATACAATACACCACTGTATTAGATGTAAATAATACATTCTAAACAACCTAAAAGTAAATTAATAATTGTTTTTATTGATTCATTTTTATTATATTGACATTATTTTCTCTCTTCTAAATAATGATAGCTTTTAATATTAATATATTTGTAATCTTTTAATTATTAACTAGTATATATAGTATTTAATTAACTAGTATATATAGATATAACTGATTTATTTATGATAATTAATTAAAATTGAATAATTTTCAGCTAATGGTGATACTATCGTTACTCTTCTTCCTATCAATAAACGTTTTTCTTGGATTACTAAAGCTGAATTTCGACCAGAATTAGTACCAGAGGAATTAATGGCTCATGGTTTGACTGTAAGAATAATAATATTACAATTACTACTTGCTAATTTATCTTTTATGTGAGAAACAATTTGAATATTCTTATTTTGTTAAATTTTTTCTTTGTGATTAATTTTCAATTATATGAAGCATTATTTTCTGATTTTAGTTGACAGTTGAAGATTACGTCATGGCAATGCAAGTTTTAGTTAACGATATCAGATTCAATGTATATATAATGTTCTACAAACGTGTTTTGCTTGTATGGATACTTCTTGGTTTCATCATACTTTTATCATTGCTGTTTTCTGGTATTCGTGGTTTGGCTCTTTTTGGAGGTGGAATTGTATGGTTAATTGTTAATGCTATTGGAATATTTATTTGTATGTGGCTTAAAATAAAGGTAAAATTCATGACTTTTTAAAAAATAAAATATATAAATTTATTTAAATTTTATGTAATTAATGTATTGTAAATTAAATATTTAGATAGAAGGATGGATAGATTTGATTCCGGTTATAATTTAACAAGTCTTAAATACCTAAGTTTAAAACGTTTTAAATATAGTACATATAAAACATTGTTTAAAGTGTCTTTAACATCTTTGTATTGACATTGCATATCTAAAAATGTACAATTTTTACATCCTTTGGTTAAATTGGTTATAATTGTTCCAAGATTTCTAATTATTAGAAGTGAAAGTGAATTAGTACTGTAATTTAGAATTAAATTTAATTAACATTAAAAAAACGTATCTATTATGTAGATTTGTTTGACTTAGCTTCACCATAACTTTATTCATTTAGTATAAATATTTCATATAATTTCCATTTAGCCTTAATAGAACTACATAGGTCATTTTAAAAGTTTACTATGTGGATGTGCTGCAGGTGAGAAATGAAAACAAAGGAATTTATCTTTGATAGAAATCATGAAGCACAATGTCCTTTATAAATATATAACATACCATCAGGTTCAATACATTTTTGCCAATATTGTGCAAGTGATCAGTTTTACCCTTGTAGTTTGTGGCAGTCGTATAGTATCAAGGTTCCCATATGGCAGTGTTGATTTCTTCCACTGTGTAAAATCTTCAGCTCTTCAAGTAGCTTCTTAAACTTTGCAAACAGGAAGAAATCATAGAAAGAATTTCAGATGAATAAAAAAGATGTTTGATGAATTTTCCAGTTCTATGCTGCCATATGGTTTTGAATATTGAAATGCCAGCAAGGGGTCATGTTTTGCAAGAGAATGATGCCTTGTTCTAATGGGTATGTTACTTTCAACCATTGGCTTGGTGAATCTTATTTTCCAACAAAGATGTATAATATAGCTCTGACTATGGTATCAGTGGAATAGGATGGTCAATTATCAAACCTACATTGGAAAAAAAAATAATGTACATAACCATGAATACACTTTGACTGTATCATACAACCTTGTATAGTGAATTTAGGACACTTCAGCTTCAAATCTGTGTTCCATCCACAATCAGAATGTAGAACAAGAATACATTTTTTCTGTCTATCGTTACAAATGCATAGTGGAGAATGTCACATGAATTTTTTCCTGATGCTTAACACTTGCAGTATCCACTTGGCACAGATTGCTGCTTGCTTCCCAAACTCAGATATACTCTATCAGAAGATATTCCAAACTGTCTCAGTCATTTTACACTATACTTTATAGACCATCCTTCACAATACATTTTGCAGTATCAACATAGAATCTCATACTTCTATTATTACCATGAGGTTGTTAAAATTATGGATGTGAACTATGCACTGAAGTGCTAATCATTTTTTCCATGGATATTTATACAGAAAACTTCTAAAATGACCCATGTAACTAAAATTTTTCAATTAAAATTTTTTGTAAATCATCAAATTACCTGCATGTCAAAATTAAATAAAGGTATTTTTATTTTTTATTCATATTAAATCTATATTATTTATATTTATAATAGAATCAAATAGCAAAATCTGATATAATTTATGACAATTAACAATGCATTTACTATTTGAAACAGGCCATACATTGTTGCCTTTTTGTTGTTTAATTTTATTACAAATATAGATGATAAAGAATATGATGTATCAAAAGTAATTTGTATATGTGATGATAATTCTTTATAGATGGGATATAAAATAAAATTGCAATTGTAATTAGGAGAAATTTTAAATTATTATTTCATAAATTTCTGTAATATTTAAAGGACATCAAAAATGGCACACAAAGTAATTAATATGTGATGTGAAGATACAGAATAACTGATATTAGAGCAACAAACATGTTAAACAATAATTTTCTAATCTGTTTCTCAATATATATAAATTTCTTTTGAGAGCTTTAAATATAATTTTGGTAAAAATTATTGATGTTATTCTGTATATTATTTACTATTATACCAATATACTCAGTTTTTCTTTATAATTAACAGCTATACAGACTTCTTGAACAATGTGTGGCTAGTGTTAATGCTTTGTTGTATAAGCATAACATCCTAGTTGGATTGGATGATCGTGGAAAGATTTCATGTCATAAAGTGAATGTATCCTTTAACTTAATTATATTATTACATACAGTATTAAAACTTGATTTAAATTTTAAAAATTAGCAAACTTTAAGAGTAACAATATTTTATCATTTGAATACATTCTTTTTATTAGAATATGACTTGAGAGATAAAAATAAATTTAAAATTAATGATAACAAATTATTGATTAGATATTCTTTTTTCTAAATATATCCATTCAAATTTAATAATTAAAAATGTTTTTAAAGAAAATAACATGTTTTAAGAGTTCAAAAACTTAGACCTTTAAAATGTAGGCTTTAAATTTGACAAATTAGTTTTTTATTGATGAAAATCACACACTCATATTAGACATCTGCCTAAATGAAATTGCATAGAGAAAATAATTGTAAGATTATTTATTCCTATATCTATAATTTAAGATGATGATGATTACAAGGATTAGCCAATAATCTGTATTATACCAATAGAGATACTGCTGATATTGTTTTTGATATGAAAATTCATCATTGATGATATACCAATTAGAAACTGGCTTTTAACTTTCAATGAAAAGTTAAAAGCCAGTTTCTAATTGATTATATCTAATTGGTTATTGGTATAAAGCCAGTTTCTAGCTTTTCATCATATGAAAATGCTAGTTTTTAAATTTTATAATTATCATTAAAAACAACCACAAATTATGAATTCTCTGAACAGAATGTAAAGCAATCTAGCATTTCATCATAAAATGAATACTAAGATTTCATACTAAGTAAAGTGAATTGTAGTCATTTTTTTATAAAGGGAATAACAGCTTTTTAAATGACAGAAATTTGTTTATTTGAAAATTAGCATGCATTTCTTATATTGAGGAGGAAAATAAAGCAAATGTTTTATAATTTGTTAGTACTAGTTTATTTTTTAATATTTTTGTACATGAACAATGTGTAAAATTGGAATAGTTATTATTTTTATATTATTCTTATGTAATATTACAAATATCACATCATATATTAATATAATTACAATACATAAATTATATGGTGTAATTAATGTATTACAACAGTCACAAATATTCAACCAAACAATCACCTTAACTAATCGGGCTATAAATTTGCTATTATAAATTATTAGATATTAAGTCATTTGGTATTAGGGTGGTAGACATTAGGTGCCATCTCTTATCTAAATTAATAATTATAATTTTTAATAATTTATTAAATAATTTAGTGTGTAACTGCATATGGTTATATCTAAAGTTACATATGTCTGGAAGCAAAGAATTATGGAGGTCTGGGTGGCAAAAATGGCAAGCACACTGCACGGCAAGCAGAGGCTGCAGGTTCAAGTCCCACTCTGGGCTAGTTCTTTTCTTCCAGATGGTGCTAAATTATTTAATAAATTATTAGAAATTATAATTATTAATTTAGATAATAGATGGCACCTAATATCTACCTCTAATACCAAATTACTTAATATCTAATCATTTATAATAGCAAATTTATAGCCTGATTAGTTAAGGTGATTGTTTGGTCAAGTATCAATATATCCAGCTTCAGAAAGTTTTTTATATATATACTTACAAACAATTGGAACAACAAATTTCGATAATTTCTTGAAGTTATTAGTAAAATATTTTCAAAATAAAATGCACACATTATTTTATTATGCCATTACAGTAGAGCATCGATTANATCATTGGTTCTCACATTAGAAGTTTGTTTGCTCATGATGTTTCTGCCAAAGAAAAGGTCACCAGATTAACAGAATTTTGTAATTACCAGATGGAGGAGAGAAAAAAGTAAGGATCAGGAATTATGCAAACCATCCATCATCTGTGAGAGAACTGGCCATCCATTTGCAGAAGAAATGGAAGAAAATACCATCTGAGATGTATCAGAAGTTTAGTGGAAAGTATGCCACATAGACTGTCAGCTGTCATTAAGGCCAAAACAAGTTCCATTAAGTATTAAAATTGCTTATAAAATACAATTTTTGATACTTGCATAAGTGTCCAGTTATTTTTGTAAGGATAGTATACATCAAAAGCTTTCATACAAACACATCCAGAAATCATACTAAAACTATACACCTCAGACAGTCATAGAAAATGAATGATACACACAAAATATACTGTGATTGAGCTATAATCACAAATTCCATTACAACAGATCAGATATCAAGTTCATTGACAAATGAAATGAAATCACATGCATCATAAACACTGTAAAACACCCACAAATTTAAAATACACTGAAAAAAATTAGTACTCAGAACTTTCCCATAAAATAAAGTCTTTATGGAGAATGGATATCAGATGCTACTTTATTAATTTATAATTATACTATAATGTAATATTAAATTATAAAAGTTTATAAAACTTCCTTACATTAATTATAGTTGATATTCCTGTATTTCATTCTTTGTGAGCAAATTGATAACAAAGCCATAATCAAGTAGCAAAATTAATCAGAATAAGCCAAAAAAATGCAAACTATTATCAGAATTACAGGCATATTCCATATATTTCAGAACATAATTTTATAATATAATTATAGCATTTTATTTAAATATAAAATACAACATGTAATTTTAAAATTTACCAGTACTCCCTTAGGAGTTGATGCAATGGTTCAAGTGATTCTGCCAATTGTTGAAACTTCTGTATGTCCTCTTTCTTTATGCTGTTCAGCACAATTCTCATGTTTTTGAATCATCTCAACTATGCCAAATCTTTAGTTTTGAGTTTTGTTTTCATACTAGGAAAAATGAAAAAGTAACATATGGCCAAATCAAGAGTGAGAATAAGAAGAGTGAGGCAACAACAACTATGTTGTTTTCTACTAAAAATTGCTGCACTTTAAATAAACATGTGGGGTGCATAATTTCAATGGTGGATCATCTAGTTCCTAAAGGTACACAACTCTGGGTGCTTGAACCTCTTGGGGTCTGCACACACTTCAGCATACCAGTGTAATAGTCTGTATTGACTATTTGCTTTTGTGAAATGAATTCCTTTAGAAGAATTTCTTTATGAATGACAAATGTAATTAATATTGACTTCACATTGCTTCTGATTTGCTGTGCTTTCTTGAAATGTGGAGATGATGGGCTTTTCCATTGTGAGGAATGTTGTTTGGTTATTGACTTTATTCATAAATCCTGCTTTCATCTGCAGTAATTACACATTTCAAAATTCAGTCAGCAGTCATAGTGTCTTTGAGACCTTAACAGATCTGCATTTGTTTTTCCTTTTGTTCAGCTGTCAGGATATGTGACAAGAATTTGGCAGAAATTTGTTTCATGTTCAATTTGTCAATCAAACTAGCCATAACATGTTAAAATTTTCAGTAATATCTGAAATGTTTTGCTGACAATATGAATTAATACATAAACTTTCTTGGTATTTTTCTATGCTTGATACTATTCATTCAGGGTGGCAATCCCATGGTTTAGGAGCATACATAAGTACTTTCCAGATAGTGTCAATGAGAAATGACGTAATAAGATATTATTTCAGCAGATTAATTGTGGACAAAGTTGTTCCATACTGTTTCTGCATTGTTTTTTACACATCTTCAAAAACAGTGCAGAAACACTATGGAACAATCTACCCACAATTAATTAATCTGCTGGGACAATATCTTTCATCATCATTTTTTGGTATTTTTGGGAGTTATGATTATCAAAGGCTATGCTGTTTGTTTGTTGTCTTCTGGCATTTCTTAGTTCTATTTGTTTTTGCCTGAAACATAGTCACTAAATATGTGCTGAAGCAATTTCTGTGCATTTCTGGTGCTTTTTTACCAGTTTTGACATATATTTTATGTACATATTCTTCTCTAAGTTTCTCATACATTTTTGATGGCAAGAAAGTTGTGCTATATATAGTAAACAAAGAAGTGTAGCATGAAATCTTATTCACTTGGCACAATGACTTTTGGTGCACTGACTTGATAAAGCTGTTGAAAAAAACCATCTTGTGGCACACACTGCTGTACTGTGTTTCATTTCCTGCATATTACCAGTTTAAAATTTTTTTGATACTACCTTGTACTCAGCATAATACACTATCCTTCCAAAAGAAATTTGACACCTGTATTTGCAAAGTGAATTAGATAGTAATCATTTTTTAATAGCAAATTATGTATTCTAAACTGTGTAATATAAAACATGGGACCTTAGAGGTATCTGCCATTTACAGTCAATATGCCTTAATTCAAGGAAATCAGTATGAATATGGTATTATCATTGGTTCTCACATTAGAAGTTTGTTTGCTCATGATGTTTCTGCCAAAGAAAAGGTCACCAGATTAACAGAATTTTGTAATTACCAGATGGAGGAGAGAAAAAAGTAAGGATCAGGAATTATGCAAACCATCCATCATCTGTGAGAGAACTGGCCATCCATTTGCAGAAGAAATGGAAGAAAATACCATCTGAGATGTATCAGAAGTTTAGTGGAAAGTATGCCACATAGACTGTCAGCTGTCATTAAGGCCAAAACAAGTTCCATTAAGTATTAAAATTGCTTATAAAATACAATTTTTGATACTTGCATAAGTGTCCAGTTATTTTTGTAAGGATAGTATACATCAAAAGCTTTCATACAAACACATCCAGAAATCATACTAAAACTATACACCTCAGACAGTCATAGAAAATGAATGATACACACAAAATATACTGTGATTGAGCTATAATCACAAATTCCATTACAACAGATCAGATATCAAGTTCATTGACAAATGAAATGAAATCACATGCATCATAAACACTGTAAAACACCCACAAATTTAAAATACACTGAAAAAAATTAGTACTCAGAACTTTCCCATAAAATAAAGTCTTTATGGAGAATGGATATCAGATGCTACTTTATTAATTTATAATTATACTATAATGTAATATTAAATTATAAAAGTTTATAAAACTTCCTTACATTAATTATAGTTGATATTCCTGTATTTCGATGTTAGTTATTGTATTGTAAGTATTATTCCTTTATATTATAAAAATTTTTTTATACATTAATGTATTAATATAAATATAATATGCTATAATTGTTTTATATATTGTAATTATATACTGATAATTACAATATATAAAAGATATAATTTATTTTTAATACTTAATTGAATTAATTGAAAGTATAATAAAGAAAATGCATAAAAAAACCAAACATTTTGATTTGCATAAGATAAAATATAAAGATTGTAATGATTACAGTTTCATTAAAATATTTATGAATCATCAAAAAACTATATTGTAATATTGCAAAAAATTGCTTGCTTTTTTACCATATTATAATTTGATTAATGCATGACTTGATGACGATACTAGAATTTGAGGCGATAGTTTTTTGGTCATGATTAAAAGTTTTTCCTATGTTAATTGTTTCTAAATGATAATTACAGTTTGAAATTTTAATGTTTTTTTTTATGTAGTAAAGTTCAATGTTTTATTAATTAAGATAAGTTTTTAAATCTGTTAATATATGAATAAGTTCTTAGATATAATATCTATGATTAAAAATGAATTTAATTTATTTTTCACACTGTCTATGAATTTTGTATTAAGTTTTATGATAGAATGATTTGAATAATGAGACAATAAAAATAAAATAAAAAATATTTTTAATAAAAGAAATTAATGAGGAACTGGAGAAGGAATTTCAAAATAAAAAATCCACACTTTAAATTACTCCAGCACTAAATATTTAATGAACAAGAATGTTTTTGGTCCAGTTGATGGGTCTTCATCAGTTGTTGAACATATAGCAGTTATTGAATATACAAACATTAAATCAAGTAGAACATATAATTTACAATTTAGATTTATTTTTTAAATTTTATTTTAATATATTTAACTGTTTTTTCACTTAAAAACATTCTCAATTATATTATTCCAAAATTAATATGACATTTAATAACATTCATAAATAAGGATTCCTTAAATGAAATTAAAGGATGAAAGAAATCTGAAATTAAATACTTTTTCTAATTTTACTATTTTAAAATAAATAGTAAAATTTCATTAATCCATACTAATGTAGGAAGGAGCTGACCCAATTAAGGAATTATCTGAATTGATTAAGTAAAACTGTATTATTTAATTTGAATGAAAAATTTGAAATACACAATAGAGTACAGTGTTTCAAAATACTTCATACATGCAGACTCTCTATGATTTACAATAGTAAAAATGATTTATAATGTAGTCTCCTAAATTCTCTGACTTCATTCCTCTTGATTTTTATTTGTGGAGCATTTGAAGGAAACAGTGTATTACAGGGATGGCCAAACTGTGGCTCACAAGCCATATGCAGCTTTTCTAGACTCTTATTGTGGCTCTCACATACACAATTTTTATGAGCTTGATACAGACTATTTACATATATATGATATTTTGGTAAGTTTTTTACTATTATGTATTGTAATATACACAGAAATTGTATGGGAAATTTCCAACTTAACTTCAAACAGGCAACTGAAAGCTTAGATCATATCATGTTCATAAAGTTGAAAGAGGTAAATGATTACTAGTAATTTATGATGACTAGGTAAACAGTGATATTTGCTATAGAACAGTGATGATTATATTATTTTTAGTTGAAATACTAGATACTTATGGGTTAAGAGGAGGCCAGTCAGAAATAACGTTTTTTCCGAATAATGCAATTTTTTATTTGTCAAATTTAATAAAATTGTTAAATCAAACAATAAATTACGATTTATAAAGATATAACAAAATTTCACAAACTGTAATAATAAACCACTTGAATATGCAAATTGTTTTGTAGTGTATATGGCAAATAGGCAATATCTATCATCCTTATTGATTTTTTTTCATTTTTATAACCTTATCAGTAAATTTTCTTCTTTTTAGATTTAAATTTACTAGTCTATTGTTATTTTGATATTTCATTCAAAATCGCGACTTTGATCGCAATTTCCAACTGGTGTCCTCTTAACCCATAAGTACCAAATACTATAAACAGAGGATGCAGCTCTCCAATGGTCATTTCAATGGAGGATGTGGCTTTCATTAGCCTATATCTGATAGACAGTGTATGACTCCTATTGTGACAAGGTTTGACCACCCTTGTTGTATTACATGGAACATAAAATAACAACCATTTATAATGCATGTATTCGTATAATACCATGTTAATGTATGTTTATGTTGAGCAGGAGCATATCTGCACACACAGATATGCTCCTCAGTTAAATTGTGTTAATACAGAGCATCTTTTGTCAGTTACAAGTGAATCTTTTGTCATAATTGAACCCTTCACCTACATAATGAGACTTTGACTCACTTTATACTATCTATGAATAGCTCTAAACAAAGACTGAATCTAATGAACATGAACTATTGAAATGCATTGATAACTATGCAAATTGACTATTGAATCAGATATAATTTAGATTAAACAATCATTATTTGGATATTTATTTAATATTTTTACAACAATTGTCATAATAAAATTACATTTGGAGTGACAAGACTCAGATTAAAAAAATTTTCTATGATTATTATGTTTTTACTAATATAATTGAGAATAAAATTATAATAATATTACAAAAAAATAAATCAATATATTGAATGTAATTATTAGAATATATTTAGTAGATTGAATAGATTACTATCTAAATTATTTTAAATGGCATGAGAATTATAATGATAAAATAATTTATTTTTAATATAAATTTTTCAGAAATATTTGAAAGATATGTTAGAAAATGAAGAAAGACTTAAAGCACAGCAAGCAATAGAGGTACAATTTTGTTTTCATTCATTATAATAGCTTATTTTTTAAAATAAAATAAAGGCATATTTTATTTTTAACTTCATAAAATTTAAATTTTAAAATATTTCAGCCATAAAGTAAATAACTAAATATTAATAGATACATTTAGCAATATTTGGTCATATATGTACTGTACATAGAACTCAGGTCACTTTAACTTGTATTAATTCATATGAGTGAGGTCAGAATTGTAACCTGGTTGCAGCAATAGATTTGAAAATACAGATGAAAGTGTGTTTTAGGTATAGCAACAGTGATAGCTGAAAAAAACCTTAAAACACTTATTATGTTATACTCTGTCACATAGATATGTATGTATGTATGTGTTTACAGTGTAGGATGTAAAGAAACAAATTCCAAGAATAACAAGGTTGATAACAGTTATATGTGGCTAAAGAGCAGGCCACGAGAAAAGCGTGGACTTTTCAAGTTCACAGCAACCACTTATAATGATTGTCCTTGCACTTTGTTTATAGTCATTGCAAAGTCTACTATTATAGCCTAAGTTATATATTTCACCTGTTTAGTTGTAATTATTCTTGCAATGTATTCTAAAACGTCCATCATGTTTGATGCTTTCAATATTAAACATGATGGAAATTCAATAGGTTGATAGATGAATGTATGTGGTGACAAAACAGGTGGTGACAAAAATGCTTGTGTGACAGAGTATAACATAATGAGTATTTCAAGGTTGTTTCAGCAATCACTATTGTTTGTAGCTCTATTAAACACAATTCTATACAATTACTTGCTTGACTTGTATGGGTCCTTAATTGTCAAGTGGACACCAAATTTGGCAAATAGTGTTAACAATATGTTAACACTATTTGTCAAATTTGATGTTCACGTCCACTTTTGATTCAACATTAACTCTGGTGCCAACAGAGCTGGAATATGTGCAATATCCACTTGACAATTAAGGACCCATACAAGGCAAGCAAGTAATTGTATAGAATTGTGTTCAATAGACCTACAAGCAATTGTGATTGCTTAAACAACCTTGAAACACTCATTATGTTATACTCTGTCACACAATCATTTTTGTCACCACCTGTTGCAGTATCTATCGAACTATTGAATTTCCATCATGTTTGATATTAAAAGCATCAAACATGACGGAGGTTTTATGGTCACCCTCACGCAAACAGCCATACATGCAATAGGTGCAACCTGGTTGCAGCAACTGAGTTGACAGTCCTGTTTTCACCTTAAATTAAATTTTAGAAAACTAGATATAATCTTTAATAAATTTTTTGGTAGTGACATGAACTTTTAGATGCATATTTAGTACAGTTAATATATGGTATGCTTTTAAGAACATTACACACACATCTAAAGAATAATTAATGATGATAATTTTTAATTTCATAATTTATAATTCATAAATAGTTCTAATTTATGCAAATATTTTCATAAATTAAGACTATGTATCATATATAATATCATGATTATCCAGTATTCTGTTACATGTGTAGTACATGTAATGGAACAGAAAAGAAAAAATATTTTCAAATTTTTTTCCATACAGAATCTGTTTAATCCAAAATTTCTAGACAGGAAGCAACATCACATTTCTGCTTCTGGACTGTTTTTGGTCATTTAGAAATTAAGCTTAATTCTGTTACATAGCTAATAAATATCCTGAAAGAAAATTGCAAATAAATTTTGATTTCAGCATATTTTGATTATTTTATGTATTATATAAAATGAGTTCTAATGTAGCATTATCATTATTTATATTATAAAATTTTCATTGAAATATTTAAAAAACATTCATTCTAAAAATGATCACTTCATGATTAACCATAACTGATATTTATTAATGATTAAAGGTAGATTATATAAAGTTTTAAAATGCTTACATAATTTTTCTATGGGTAATATTTCTTAGAAAAACATCTAGAATATATCAGCTATATATATATAGAGCATATATCAGCTGTAATAAAATATGTAAATCATACAACTATTGAATAATGGATTTAAACTCTTTTCAACTTCTGCTTTCCTTACAGAGATTTAAATACAAATGTTTTCCTACTTATAAACTGGTTAGTTCCTGACATTTTGTTGTAAGTCAAAAATTTACACCTAGGAAGTACTGTACATTTGTACACAGAATAACCACATATTGTTAGTGTTTGATGCTTCAATATACTTAATGGAATTTATTATGCTTGTTTACCCACTTGCTACTCCTTAGTAGCAGGTATTTCAAATGCAGTTTTTTTTTTATCTAACACATTTAGTTTTATAATGTCAAGTTTAGTTTCCATGGTAATAGAGCCACACTTCTTGCATTTATATCCACTGAACTATTACATTTTGGATGAATTTTTGAAGCACTAATCTTAAATGTTTATAAAAATTGCAAACAATAGCAATAAATGCCATTATTCAAACATTCATAACTTTAATGCTTACTCACCAGTGGCAATGAAATGTCAGAATTCACACAAAAACGAAAAATGACGATATGCATTAGAAATAAATTCACATTAATTATTTATTACTGGCCAAAGACTGACTTCAATACTCTCCCATGACTGGCAAGATAACTTCAGAGTCTGTGCGAAATTTAAATTTTAGATGTATGGTCAAAATTAAACTGACTGTTCATAAGTAGGAAAACTCCTGTATTCAATTGAAAAAGTGTTAATAAAAAGAAATAATTTTATAATATTTTTGGTTTGATAAGAGTTTTAAAACTCTTTATACTCTTAAAAAATAAAACAGTTAAAGATTTTAAATCTTTAACTGTTTTATTCTTTAAGATAATAGTAATTTATTTCAGTTTAATGAGCTTCTTTTGTAAAATTACAGCCAACAATTGGTCACAGGGGACCTCAACCACCCATTGATCATTCTCGAATGGACATTGATACTTCTGATATCATTATCACTGGAAGTTCAACTACTCGTGTATCTCAGAAAGAAGTAAAAATTTTTCAAATCTAATTAATTAATTCTTTCTTTTTAATAATTTCTATAAAATAATTATATTATTATTAATTAATGAATTATATGATTTTAAAATATAATACATAACTAGAAAGATGACTAAACAAAAAGCATGATTTTTTTACGAAAAAAATTTAATAATTTTTGTATGAATTTTTAAAAGTTTAGTCAGTTTTATTTATTGTGTTGCTTGCACTGCAGCAAGGATTTAATTTAAGCTGATGACAATATTATGATAAGTATTTTTGATGGCTGAAGAATTACAGAATTATTAATTCTGTATTCTAATTATTCACCGAGTTTTATTACCTTTTTTATGTATGCATATAATACATTTAACTACTGACTAAGTTAATAATGAATAAGAGAGATTTAATTTTACTACTGATTGAGTCAGTAATGTTTAATATATTGCTGTTATGTAATACTACAGTGGTTTACTAATGATTGAGTTAATAATGAATAACAGTAGGTTTAATTTGTTTGTTTAAAGTATGGATTACTTGGAAGAACGTAAAATATAGTCTTAAAATTTATATTTTGCGTAAAGACAGTATTTCATTAAAATTCTTTTCAAAATTGAGAGATGAATTAGGAGCTCCTGAATTAATTTTTTTCAAGAGCTCTCTTGTACCTAAATGTAGCATGGAATTTGATTGTTCTTATGGGGTAGCCTTTAGTCTGAAGAAATCTTATATCAATAAAATTTTGCAGCATTATAATTATTTCAAATTTTACTGTGTATAATTAAAACTTGAAATAATTATATAAGCTTTCTTCTTTATTCTGCTTGTTAATTTAAGGAAGCCAATCTTTTTAAAAATTATAAGTTAATAGGTTGGCTTCTTTAACAAGCAGAATAAAGAGGAAAAGTATTAACTATTGTGCCAAGTTTTATAAATTGTGATTAATTATATAGGTTTAATATAGATTTGTTCTTTATTTTGAGCCATTCAGTAAATAAAATATACATCATTAATTTATTGGATTTATATTTGCAGTCTATAAAAGTAATAAGCATTTATTTTGTCGAACAGAAATATGCAGAAAAGTTACTTCTGCGATACAGTCAGCGTTGGGTGAAAGAATTTAGTAGAAAGCGACTCGATTTGAATCTTCCATTGCATCCTGATGGATCCGAACTATCTTGTCACCCGTCTCCTCCTCGTCACTGTCATAATGCTCGGTGTCCCTGCCAGTTCATTGAAGAGCATCTTCGCTTCAAACCACAAAAGAAAACATGCAATATCAGGGATTTATTTTCATAAAATAAGAGATAAATTCTTTAATTCAGTTATCTTTCATAAGGTAATTAATATATTATAAGTAATGGAAGGAAATATCTAACTGGGTTATTTTGAATTTTTACTATTATTATTATTGTTATGCATCAAATTGTGCCTTATAATTCCATCCATAGTATAATGGGATTACTAAATCATATGGCTTGAATAATTGGATGAGATCTAGGAAAAATATATGCTCATTTTGTGTGTTTGCATGTGTGATAGTTGATTACTAGTAAATTCTTTTAAGATATATAGTTGCAAATTTTACTTATGGTAGTATGTGGGGTGTTCAAAAAGTTCCCAGAAAGTTATTATTTGTAAACAGAATGCTACATTTATAATTAATTTGTATAAGTGTAAACTTGTTGAGATTTATTTTATCAGGTATTCGTGTCTAGCCCCATCAGACTTTTTTTATTCCCAAATTTAAAAAACAGGCATTAAAGGTGTTTGCTAGCAGTTGAAGATCAAGTGAAACATTTTGTAGTTCGGTGGCTAGAATCAAAAAGTACTGACTTCTACTGGAAGTGTTTAGAAGGATGGCGACACCTTATGGAAAAATGTTTTAACTTAATTAAATGGAACATAAGTTAAAAAATAAAGTGCTAAATTCAATTTTTTGTCTTCTTATTTACATTTTCCAGGAGCTTTTTGAATACCCATTGTTTAAATTAGTCATAAATCTATATTAACAAATTCATTATTAGAAATTTTGTAATAATGAATTTCAATTTTATTCCATTCATTAATTTCTGTAACTTAATGAAAACAAAAATTAGCAATTTATAATATTCAAACATTTTAAACAATATTTATAAATGTAAAGAATATTTACATTTATAAATATTCTTTATGTAAGAATATTTTAATTTTCAATGCAATTTTCTGATTTCAAAACACATGATGTGATATATTGTTTTTTTTTTCTAGTTTTTGTGCAACATACTATTCTATATTGTAAAATATTCATTTACTTAAAAATAACAAATGCAATTTAATGAATTTAATACAATTTAGAATAGTATCTTCTTGTTTAAATATTTTGTGATATATTTAGCATTATTTGTTTATTCGTTTATACAAAGTTGAAAAATTTATGCAGAATTTTGTAAGTTGAAACAAACATTCAGCAAAGTACACTTGCTGAATAACTGACAAAGCAATCAAAAAATAATTTCTGACTCCCTTTTAAATTATTTGGCAAAGAAGTCTGCTCCTAATAATCTATAAAAAGGAACAGATAAAATTATTATTTGATTAAATAATTGCTCTCTAACTAAACAATGTATTATTTTGTTTCATTTACTCCTTTATTAAGCTTTTTAAAAATATTTAAATTAACTCGGAAAGGTTAGGAAAGAAATACTGATAAACATTTTTGGATCTCCTTTTGCTTATTCTTCATATCTAATTTGATGTTGTTATTCTTTTCAGAGTTAAAAATAGAATATAGATTATAATAGAACATAGATCGTAGCATTCTAATATATACTATATTTTTAAAAGCATTATAGTTTTAAATATATAAAGTTTTTGAATTTTTTTTTCTCACTATGGCATCAATAAATCTAGTGGGTGGAGGTTTGAGTAATGTAATAGGCAATGCATTTGCACAGTATACAGAAATTGCAGATTCAAGTCCCCTTCTGGCTTGATTTTTTTCTTCCAGAGATTTCTAAATTAAAAATTAATATGAGATGGTGACATTATATTATTTTTAGTTGAAATACTAGATACTTATGGGTTAAGAGGACGCCAGTCGGAAATAGCGTTTTTTCCGAATAATGCAATTTTTTATTTGTCAAATTTAATAAAATTGTTAAATCAAACAATAAATTATAATTTATAAAGATATAACAAAATTTCACAAACTGTAATAATAAACCACTTGAATATGCAAATTGTTTTGTAGTGTATATGGCAAATAGGCGATATCTATCATCCTAATTGATTTTTTTTCNTTTTCCAGGAGCTTTTTGAATACCCATTGTTTAAATTAGTCATAAATCTATATTAACAAATTCATTATTAGAAATTTTGTAATAATGAATTTCAATTTTATTCCATTCATTAATTTCTGTAACTTAATGAAAACAAAAATTAGCAATTTATAATATTCAAACATTTATTTTAAATGTAAGAATATTTTAATTTTCAATGCAATTTTCTGATTTCAAAACACATGATGTGATATATTGTTTTTTTTTTCTAGTTTTTGTGCAACATACTATTCTATATTGTAAAATATTCATTTACTTAAAAATAACAAATGCAATTTAATGAATTTAATACAATTTAGAATAGTATCTTCTTGTTTAAATATTTTGTGATATATTTAGCATTATTTGTTTATTCGTTTATACAAAGTTGAAAAATTTATGCAGAATTTTGTAAGTTGAAACAAACATTCAGCAAAGTACACTTGCTGAATAACTGACAAAGCAATCAAAAAATAATTTCTGACTCCCTTTTAAATTATTTGGCAAAGAAGTCTGCTCCTAATAATCTATAAAAAGGAACAGATAAAATTATTATTTGATTAAATAATTGCTCTCTAACTAAACAATGTATTATTTTGTTTCATTTACTCCTTTATTAAGCTTTTTAAAAATATTTAAATTAACTCGGAAAGGTTAGGAAAGAAATACTGATAAACATTTTTGGATCTCCTTTTGCTTATTCTTCATATCTAATTTGATGTTGTTATTCTTTTCAGAGTTAAAAATAGAATATAGATTATAATAGAACATAGATCGTAGCATTCTAATATATACTATATTTTTAAAAGCATTATAGTTTTAAATATATAAAGTTTTTGAATTTTTTTTTCTCACTATGGCATCAATAAATCTAGTGGGTGGAGGTTTGAGTAATGTAATAGGCAATGCATTTGCACAGTATACAGAAATTGCAGATTCAAGTCCCCTTCTGGCTTGATTTTTTTCTTCCAGAGATTTCTAAATTAAAAATTAATATGAGATGGTGACATAATGATTAGTAATAAATCTAGAAAATCCAAAAAATGTGAAGAACGAATTTAAACTTGTAAATTTGAGTGCATTATCCGTCCACTAGACAGACTTAAAATGGAAATACTTTTCAAGTTAAAATGTAAAAATATATTTTATATTAGAACATTATGAACTATCTTCCATTATAACCTGCACTCCATTTTGAACTGAAAGGAACAGCAATGTTGAATTAGATCTGAAGAAGAAGCAAAGAAGCTTTAAAAAACTGTTAATATGTGTCCTGCTGATGTGTTTTCATATTCTTAAAAGAAAAAAAAAAGATTTATTTTGATAGTAACTTCCTAATTTTACTTCATTGCAATAATGTTTTAACTCTACATTATTAATACATATTGTTATATTTTTCTTGTAAATTTTTCCTTTTTTTCACATAATAAATAATATAACATATCATTAAAGAAACATTTAATGTTCTTTGTGTTCAAACTATAAGACCAAAAACTTGAAAAATTTAATGGGGAAAAATATATTTTTAAATTATTTTATGGATGTTATTCTTCTAAACCAAATCTATAGAATAGAAAATACTGTATTTAGAAATGTAAATTACTGGATAAATACTAGATTTAAACAGCTTTTAATTAAAATTGTTGTATGTTTATAATATATTATTCTCATATTTTTATTCTCATAAAAAATTTAAAAATAATTGAGAGTTATGTAAATTATTCTCTTACTATTCAGCAATTATCTAAATTGTCTGTATGTTAATTCCATTATGTCTGAAATTCTTCTAGCTACGTTCTTTTTCTAGTAATTATAGTATACATTTATCTTAATAATAAGTAATATAATGTGTATTATATTATTTAATATTAAGACAAGTTTATATATAAATCTTTAAGAAGTGTCATATCAATTTGAATAAAATAAAATGAAATATTTATAAAAAGTTATTATTTTCTTCAGTTTAAAAAATGAAAATCATAATTAATGCTAATAATCAAGTTTATTAAAGCTTTATTTTAATTTTGATGTTAATCTAATGTAAAATATTGAATGATTTTGTATAAATAAAATTAATAAAATATTTAACTTCTTATTTATTATTTTTGTCAAATTTTTGAAATTTGACAAAATTAATAGATAAGAAGATAAATATTTTATTAATTTAATTTTATTTTATTATATCCAAATTATAAAATTAAAATATAAGTATAATTAAGGCAAGTATTTGTTATTTAAGTATAATAATCACATCATTAATAAGATTTTTAAAATATTTCACATTTATTCAGAAAAATTTTTCTCGCTTGCTTATCTAGTTAATCATTTTATATAGTTAATCATATATTAATTCTGTATACAGTAGATTGATTTGTAATCAACAAATAGACTATATAAATGTTTAAAAATTTAGAAAATATTTTCTTTAATTTTTCAGTTTTTGGTTGTTAAAAAGTAATAGTAATAATAACAATAATATTACAATATTTTGTTAGCAATATTTGACTAAATGTTTAAACAAATAAGTTCCCCTTAACACATATATATATACATGTGTTTGTAAGGAAAACTTATTTTGTTAATGTTGTTTTCTCTACAAAATTTCTTTTGTACCGAATAATGTTGAAGGATTTTGTTTTCAATTTTTATAACGTAAAAATAAGAGTTTGCAATAATAATTGCATTAGCAATAGCAGTAAAATAAATCAAAAATTATAATCAAAATATAAAGAGTGATCTTATTTTAATTTATTATCTGTGATGATTATTAAAAGAAATAATCGATTATAATATTTTTATTTATTATTTTTTTAAATTTATATTTGCTTCGTTAATACTTTTTATTATTATTTTATGTTTAGTTTACTCTAAATTATTCACTTTGTTTTATTTTTAAATTTAATATTTATGAGATTTAACTTAACTTTTTTTTTTCCACGAACTCCACAATTATATTCATTAAGCTAATTATTTCCAGTTGAGTTGTTTTAATAATAGATGAACTGTTGTTATCATTAAGGTAAGTGTTTTTAAAGAATCTATGTAAAAATATCTGTACATAAAAATAGTGATAAAAGCTGAAACAAGATAATTTAGCACCAGAAAATACATCAAATTATGAAGAGATTTTTATTTTTCTGCTTTTCTAATGAGATATATACTAAAGATTTTGTGAAAACATATTATGCAAATTGCAAGTTAGATAGTAATTATTCTGCTCTTTAATTTTGTCCTATCTGAAAAATCATTGAATTTAAAAAATGTTAAGTGTTTCTAACATCTGGTGCAAGATATCTGGATTGTTGAGGTAGTAAATATTAGCCTACCACACTATGGGGTCCCACCCACTATGAAGTTTATATTGCTTGTTTGGAAGTTTTTATGGATCTAGATACATTAGGCCGTGTCACTCTGGCCACGGCCATGGCCATCTAGATACATTAGATGGCCACTCTGTTGTGAGCCTAACCAAACTATGATTGGCATGGAAAAACTCCTTTTAGTATAGGGCAGAAAGTTTAAAAGATAAAGAAAGAAATATGCCTAACAGTGTGTCTTTAAATAATATTATTTTCAGTAATATAACTTCACAAAATTTTTAGCATTTGTATCTGTTTAAAGAAAGCTTAAATAATACAAAGTTTCTTTATATTTTATATTTTTATAGCTAAAGCATCTTTGGCTGGTATTGTTATTTTTTGAACCTTCCTATACATAAATACATATACACTCCTGCAATGNAGTATACAGAAATTGCAGATTCAAGTCCCCTTCTGGCTTGATTTTTTTC